TTTTTATAGTGCCATTTTTAATAAATATTTGCTGGATTAAAATGGCCCTAAACTTTCCTGAGCCTCATAAAGCTTTGAGTTCGTACAAAAAATTATTTCTTCATGACTTGTAAGCTTATGTACTTAAAACTTTATAGATGGCCAAGTTGCCTGAGTATTGTATGCTGGAGAGAGCACAGCCCTACAGGTGAGAGCCACTGGGGATGTTATTTCAGGAATATACTTCATCTGACCCCATTTCGATAAAGTCAAGGGCTAACTGCTTCTAGCTTCTCTACCTGTAAACATTTGTGGGGAGAAAACAGAAATGTGGTGGAGTTATCATGATAAATTAGGCAATGAAGGCATAGAAAGAGACTTGAGCCAGGCATCAGAAATCTGAAACCCTACTTTGTTTGCCCTAAATCTTAACTCCTTTAAGACTGAGTTTCATGAAGTAGGAGGTTGCGTGCTCATCTGTTATGTGACAACATCATGTAACCACTGACACACCACGGTGGCATGATCCCCACCTCTTTTAGAACTCATCCTACCAGTGGGGGAAGCCATGCCAACCAGTGATAACTTGTGGCAGACAATAAATGTGCTGGTGGTACCAAAAATAGAGTGGTCAGCTCTGCTTGGGCAGATCATAGAATTCCAGAGAGCAGTGGTTTAAATTACTAGTGAACACTCTCTTTTTCTTTCAGGATTGTTGTAAAGCTCAAAGTATATGGAAAGGCGACGTGATGGCATTAATACTATTATCGTTCCATTGTCAGCCAGATTCAGTTACTGTATTTCATTGACTTAACTGAAAATAACTCCTGCTTAGTCTCTTACAGGTTGCTGGCCTATCCCTAGTGGGATACACATATATATATATATGGTGAGAATCTACTGCCATGAAATAAGTGAACATGGGGTCTGACTCCATTAACCATGGAGGGATCCAGTTTTTGTTTTGTCAAGTCCTGGAGACCATCTGGAATTTGTTCTTATTTCATGAGTTGCTATCCAATATGACGTGCCTGTTTTACTGATTTATGCAATAAATATTTCATGAACGCTCTGTACGTATTCAAAGAATGTGAACACAACTAAATAACATAACAAATATGAAAGAGGTAACCATGTATTACACCATGATAAGTGCTCTGTAGAAACAAAAGATAAGAAAGAATAGATGTGCGGTCTTAGGTGGTTAGAAAAGATGTTTGTGGAGGAAGCCGCATTTGTCCTGACCTGGTGTAGATGTAAATTTTTCTTAGACAGAAGAGTAGCCGGTCCTTGACATCTTGCAAAGATGTAGGCATACAAATGAGCCTGGTATCTCTGGTGGCATTGAGGGGTTCTATCTCTGATGATCCGTAATATGTCAGCGCAGTAGGAGAAAAAGTGAAAGATCATATTTTATACACAGCATTGGCTTCGATATCAGCTGATGAGCATTTTTATCTGTGTGCATACATATATACATGTGTGTCCCACTTTTCCTAGAAGCATAGAATCTGCCTCTTCCTTGTCTTCATGTCCCTCAGAGTGCCTTGACTGAAACAGTTGTTCAATAAATAGCTTTTAAGTCAACGTTGCTGAATTGTTTAAAGTGTATCTAAAGACTGTATAGAGCTTGAAGAAAAAAGAAGGCATAATTTAACTGTAGAATTTACTCCTAAAGGAGACAGTGACAGCCATTGGAACTAAATTTACCCTCGGCTCAGAAACAAGTGATTGTGCACCTATGTGGTCGAGATGAGCATGGCACGGTCATATTCTTAGGGTTTTTTCTGGGTAAACTGGATGCCCGCTTGAGTGTGCTGGCAGTTGTGTGTTGGCATGGTCCCGGGAAGGACATCCGTCCTCGTGGTCAGTAGTGGCTTTTGAGACTTATGTTCTCCTACATCCTTGTTTTGCAGCTCTATAGCTCCATGGACTTCGGAAGACGGTGGCAAGTCGTGCACGAACGGATCACACCTCACAGGTTTTACTGGTAAGCACACTCCGTACCCTCTGCGATAAGGAACCGCGAGCCAGCACAGCACCCTGTACAGTGCTGAGCAACCTCAGCACTTGCAGACCAGTGTGTTCTCGCCCTTCGCCACACAAAAAATAGTTCATGGAGCAGCAGCACCACCACCTGCTGCTAGGAATTGTTAGCAATGCGGAATCCCAGTCTCCTCAATATTTATGGACCTGGAACGTGTATTTAATGCGATTCCTTGGTGGTTCTTGTGCACTTTAAAGTTTGAGAAATACTGGGCTGCAGAAGGGCCCTACCTGGGCACGCTTAGCTGCCTACTCATTCTAAGCTCCACTCTTTCTGAAAAGTCTATATTTTACGAACCTAAACCAGAAACTGTATTTCCCAAAATGTACCTTGCAGAATAGTAATTCCATAAAAGGCTTCTCCTATCATGGGAGCTTCTGTAGTCAGGTAAATATAGGACAAAATTATCCAACTCGACATTTGTGGAGACTCGGGTTCATTCACATCAGGTTACTGATGGCTCTGGAGGAAGATGTGAGGGAAGCCTGCCAAGCCTGCCGTCATGGATCCTCAAACTCACCTCACCGCGGAGTTTAGCTTTTGCTCATATCACACCGACTGATCCCTTCAGAACTACCTCTCTAGTATGAACTTTGAAAAAACTCTGTAAGAAGGAATCCAAGCCGGGTGTGTAGCAGGCCCATGCTGTGATCCTCGCACTCAAAGGGCTGAGGTGGGAGGATTACTAGCGACTGAAACCCTGTCACAAAATAGGGGCTAGTGAGGGGGGTAGAGAACATAAAAATAATTAGGATGTACTGTGTACACATACCAGCTCCTGAAAATGAATGTAATTATGATATACTTGAGACCTGTACTAATAAAAATAAAAAATGAAAAGGGCTAGGTGTGTAGTTCAGTGTTAATCCACATTTCAAATGGCAGATTAGCCTGTGCTCCTGATCAGAAAGTGTTCTTTGTTAATTGCTGTCCCTTTATCCATGCATAATGTTTCACCTTGGCTGTAACAAGTTGAGTATAAAGTTGCCCTATGACTTTCTTGGAATCCTTTGAAAATGCGTCTTACTTGTATCTTGCTTTCATTTCAGCAGAGGTGAGAAACAAAGGATCAAAAATGAGCGGGGATACCAAAGTATATAGTATCCGTAATTATATGCTTAATTTAACCTATTCCTATCTCTTTTTCAGTATCTTATTTCAGTTCCCTTAAGTGCAGCAATTTATGCCTTACACAACACCCGGGTTGTATGTGTGAGAGTGGAGTACTGGTGACAAACATCTTGTAAATACTCAGTCACACCAGCACCTTTGCAAGCAGTGGCTTTACCTGGTTCTCTCTGCATCCACGAAACAACATCCAGAATTAAAAGTGAGGATTACCTAAGCATGCTGTGAGAACCAGCTGTGTCATTATACATGATGCAGAGTGGAGGAGGAAAGAGGAGAGGAAACTGGGAATATCACTCTTGAGTCAACCCCTGGTCTGTCCCCGGGATTTTTGTCTCTTTTGGAGACCAACTACTGTCTCATCTATAACTCTTCTTACAGCTGTCATTTGGTCTGTGTTTGGAACTATTATAATTTTCAAAAAACTTAGGCAGAAAAGGGAAATATTTGTTTCTCTGATACTCCAACTATGCAACTATAGTTTTTACTCAGCTGTAATGGACCAATTGGTTCATTCAGTGTGCCATTGCTCAGAAATAGAGAGGGAGGGAGGGAGGGAGAAAGACAGAGACAGAGACAGAGAGAGAAGCTATTTTTGGAAGGAAAAGGAACTCTGGGATGGTAAGACAGTCAGCTAACCAGGAAGTCAAGTTGATGGAGAAGGAAAGCATAGTAGACTGCATGAGCCTTGCCATTGTTTCTGAGAAATTAAATTAAGTGAATGAAGGGCAGCATTTTCCTATCTTTGCAAAGAGCAAGATGGGAATGCTTCAGCTGCTGTCCCTCCCACTCCCTTCCTTTGTGTAACAGAAAGAATAAATCCCCAGGTCCTGATAATTGTATTTCATTTTTCCTCCACTCTGCTTCTTTCATATATGCTCCCATGGGGAAATATAAAAGTCAGTGCCCATGCCGGCTAGCCAAGTGGTAGCTGAACATTCCATTTTTGTAATTATCACTTCTCTGTTTCTGATGTGTAATTGCTGTGATTATTCTTTTAGGTGTCACAGGAGTCACAGAGGAAGAGCTCATTTTATACAGTCTATTTTTTTCCCAAAGACAGAATCCAAGGTTGTCTAAAACTCTAAATTGCTTGGGCTGAAGCGCTATGGTATATATATGGGGTGAAAATACTAACATTTTACCTCCTTGAGAAAATTCAAAACACACATTTGTCTGGGTATGGAGCTAACTTTAGCCTCAGTGAACCTTGTTTAACCTGTGTTTTCTTATCCATGTAATGTGAACAACATTTTTGTTTCAATTGAATAAAGTTGCTGTAAGTATAAGGCGTGATCAAATGGACATTTGGCAATTTCACTTCCCCACTTCAGATTTATGATTTGTTAACTGTAAATCTTTGAGTACTCTGACTTAAGTACTTGTAAGTACTTTGAATTTTAAGTACTGTGTTTATTAGCAGTCCTTAAGAGATTGACACATAAATCATTTGTTAGTTTGCCAGGGCACAAATGTGAATCCCATGCTTGGTGGGGCTGTGTGCCTACTTGCATGATAACTCCCGAGTGAGTCCAATTTATTGCCAAGAATCTACACCTCAGCCTAATTGCTCAGCCATTGTTCTCTACTCTTCACTAGGTTATTATCCTTGTGAAGAAGTAAAAACAATGCAAAACAATAAAATTTTTGAAACTGCTTTTTCAGGAGAGATGGGGCCAAGTGAAGTGGCTTTGGGCGTGGTGGGATGACACTGATGGGACAGAAACAGTGAGATGAGAGTGATGTTAAGGAGACCTTTAACGTGTGCCATGCCGATAAATAGAGCAGACATGTGGTTCTGAAGACATGCTGTTCACATGCTGCTGCCCATAAATTGGACATTTGCCGAAGTCTAAGGGATGGATCCTTGTGAACTTCCTTCTGTCATGTCACCTTTGGTCAGTGGAAAGCAGCAGCTTGGAGGGGGCTCACGGGGAAGAACACTGTGCTCCGGGAGTGACTCTGGCAAAGGTGCAGAAGGAGGAAGTGACCATGTCCACGCATCCTACCTGTTTTCTCATCTACAGTGGTGATTGTTGGAATGATTGTAGAAGTGCCCTAGGAATTGCGAAGGGTTGGAATTATCATTAGTGCCCTGTAGTGTCTGTGAGATAGGGAGAGACATAGTATTCATTCACAGCCATAACAAAAGCTTCATCTAGAGATAAAATTTTCTTTGTGAATTCCAGGCATTCTAACCTCATCAACAGAGATGACCTAGGAGTCTTGCACCATGGAATGACTCAGTCATCAATCCCATGTCCCAGGGAAAGGGGCGCCTGATCCAAACACTCCCTATTTATGTGCGACTCTTCCGTTCTTGATACCTGGTCACTGGGTGGCCTGACTAGTGCTGCCCATTCGTCAACTGAGCTGCTTCAGAAATGAGGACTAGCAGGAAGAGCCCACAAATGACATAAGTATCCAAAATTTTCTCCTTCATCTTTCTTAGTCTCTGTTGGAGCAGAGTTGTAGCCACAGGGGAAGAAATTTTTCTGGGTTTTTTCCCCCTCTTTTTTTTATCCTACTGAGCTGCAAATGAATAGTATCTGCATTCTTCCCTTGGGAGGTATTTAACAGGCAAGCACATTCCATAGTGGCAAGATTGTTTTTGCCACACAGTCAATGTGAGTACTTCCTGTGGCTCACAGCTTTGTCCCTTTGTTCCCACACTCTCCAAAGTGTTCACCTTCTGTGGTTTTCTCTTTCAGTACATTCCTAAGGGGACTGTGCCTCCTGAATTCTGTTTGTGTCTGAACTGGCCTCTCAGTACCTATGATCTCTAATGGCATTCATGTATATAATATCATGAAAAAGGAAATAATGTCTTCCTCTTTGCTCATGTTCCTTCTTTCCCCTTTAGTTATTCCCTCTTTTGAAAGGACAGGATCTTCTTCTTCCTTGTCATCACTGCAAGAAAATATTCTGATAAAGTCATACACCTAAAATGTCAGAGACTTCAACTCTTACCCCTATTGTGGTTTACTTGGATTGCATGATGGACTGGTCTTGAGAGCTGGAAACCCTTTAAGATGCCAAGAGATGCAACAGAAAAGTTCCAAATCCAGGGGAGGATGCAGGGAAAAGGTACATTACAGCCTGATCTTTGATCTGTTTCTAATGCCTGGTTGCAGGTGGAAGGAGGAGTGACTGCTGGGTGGGGTCAGACAGATTGTACTTAGCTTGACCTTCGCACGGCAGATTTCTAGTGGTGGTTGTGCCAGCAGCTTCTGTCTTTCAGACAGAGTATGAGCAATGGAGGGAACAATAGAAAAGCAGAACAGTTCCTCCTGGTGTGTGTAGATAGGAAGTCCTAGGGAAGTGTCCTTTAGTAGGGAAAGAGTTGATGTGGAGAGACAGAATAGAAATTGTTTCATCCCAATCTTTCCTCTTTGACCTTTTATCCCTTTTAGTGTCACAGTTTCTTTTTGCGTGCATATATTCTTTTACACATAGCCTAAACATACCAGAGATCCCTGTAGCAGATCCAAATCTCTTTCTTGGTGCTAAGATGCATGATGAGAAGAAAGACTTAGAAACAAAATTAGAGACATGGACCTGGGATGACCAGTGCCTGAACAAGCAAAGGCTTGAGCAAGCAAATGCCCGAACAGCCAGAACAGTCAATATTTATTAGTGACACAATCGTAGTTAAGTTGGGGTAAGGGTGCTATGTGAAAGGGCTATGTGTGGTTGCTAGGGATATGCTGATGACACAGGCAAGGCTTGTAGGAGAAGAGAAAAGGCATACTTGTGTTAGGCTGAGAATGGAATTCTCAGCCAATAAGAGTCACTCTGGCCTTGGCTATGTATTA